TTACAGTACATTACATTACAGTACATTACATTACACTACAATACATTACACACACATACATACTTGGCATACATACATTACGCACATACATACATACACACCCACATACATTACATACATGCAAACATACATACATAACATACCATAACATTGCATGACATTACAGTACATTGCGTACATGCAAACACACACCCGCACATTTCTCTTATTCCACGCTTACTACTCTAAGTACTGCACAAAACAAACGACTCCAGGGGTTAGTCTGATGGTTCAAGCCGGCCAGCCGTCGAACCGGAATGTGATGGCAAAGCCAAAGAAGGCAGACTGCCATTTGCGCCATGATGGTTTCCCTTCTGCCTGGATGCATTGCCAAATGGCATTTTCCATTTGCTTAAGATCCCTGGAATAAATCAAGCATATTTCCAGTATTGGTATAATTATTCCCTTCAAAACCAACCGCGGAAAACCTAGCGCTAAGCTACTGGACGGTAGAAAGTGCATCGATGCGTCGATGCTTCGGCCTGTTGAAGGGACTTCTCCATCTCTCGCCCTTCTCTTCTGCATAGACGTCCTCGGACGCGGCTTCCGGTATCGTGCCCGCATGAGGCACAATCAAAACCCGATGTAAAAATGGTTGACCCAAAAACACGGTAAGGAAATACAAAGGCGGCCGCAACTATTGATGGCTGGGATTGTCCCTTGCTAACCTTCATCTACCCGGGTTTTGATTGTGGCTCACATCTCCCTTTTGAACGGCACCCCTTTAAAGCTGAAAAGCTTGATTGCTTGCCACGGGCGTGGGCCTCCCAAACCTGGGCTGTCCGGTTTCGGATCCGCTCAAGTCTACAAACTTGTGGGTGAAATTTCCGGAAACCCAAAACGAAACCAACATTAGAAGATCTAAAACGCCGTCGGGAACCGGCTGGCCTTCGCCCGGGAGCCACCAGGAAACCGTGGATCTTGGGCCCGAAAACCCGAGCTTGAATTTTAAATCAGCCCAGGTGTATCGAACAAAACCGAAGAAGGACCCATCGAGCAGGAACTTCCGGCTGAAATTGGAAGACCTACTGCCTTGGAGCTAACCCCCCAACGATTTTCTCCAAGCTCAAAAAAAACCGCGTGGTTTCTCCCCAACCTTTGGGCTTCCCGAAGCGAGCCAGGGTTTCGGATGTTTAAACAACTAGGTCAAATTCGGGGACTTCCCAAAGTGGCGTTCCATTTTCCGTTGGTTTCCCTTCAAACAAACCCGGGGGAGACCTCCAACGCGGCGCCGAATTCTGTTAAATAGGATTGCATGGGGAACAGTGGATGTGTGGAATGACAGAGAACGGCTGTGTCTTGTTTTGAGGGCATCCATTCTTTTTGGGTGGTTTTACAAGGGAAACAAAAAAACACCAGTTTATGTCTTCTTTTTTTTTTGGGGGGGTCCCTAAAAAGACATCGCAAATGGTGTGGTCAAACTGGAGGCTTGGTCCTTCGAAGCGCAAGGGGAAGCCTTGTCAGTTTCCTTCCAAGCGCTTCGGGTTGGTTCGGAGCCTAGCGGTTTACATTTCGGGGCTCAAACCCAAATCCAAACCAACACAAACCATCAAGGGATACCAGGGATACCTGACCTTACCTGACAGAGAGAAGAAGAACCATGTCCCCAGTGGCTGTATCAGTGGGCATTGGGGTCCAAAAATGGCTATCTTCCCGGAAGTACATACATGCAGACTGTCGTGATTGCGAGGATACGATTCGATTCTCCATAGCTTCCTAGGGTGAAGACACCTACCAACAAGTAGCGCACAGTTTGCCAACTCAACATGCAAGTGAGTTTTCGCCGTGCCCCAAACAACGAGGCTCAAAACCAGCCGAACATGGTGTACATGCAGCCCTGCTTCACGCCAAAAACGGCGAATCCCAAACTACCTCACAGCTCAGCAAACTTAATTATGAAGCGAACTTACTCTCTCTCCCTCTCTCGTTGCGGGTTTCTCCTCCGGATTTCTCTCCCGCACCCTAGCCTTTGGATTGGTTTGGATGCCCCTAGGGCTTTGGTTTCTTGGAATGACATGGCCGAGGCGCGAAGGAGTACATGAAGACGGTGAAGAGGGCCATCATGGCGGCCTCGGGCTTCCCGGTGGCTCTTTCGTCCGGCTGGAAGGAGCTTCGAGCAACGGATTCGGGCGAAGCATGTAACAAGAACGTGTTTTTTTAAGTGTTTGTTTGTGTTTGTTTGTGTGTTGTTTTGGGCCTGTTTTTCTTCCTCAAGGGGGGCTAGATTGCTTGTTCTTAGTAGGGAGCTTGGCATTAACTCGAGTTCTGGTTCTTCGTAGGGACGTTGGGAATGACTCTGAATCCAAACCCTTTAGTGGGTTGTTGTGGCTAAAAGGTTCAGCAAACCAGATTCCCGAAGGCCTGTTGTTCAGCCAGAGACATGTTCTCCAAACCGGAACCCAACGGGACTAGGCTCGTGGAGAGCAAAGGCAGGGCATGCGGATCCACATTCCTGCCATTGTTGGGCAGCCGGGATGTGTTTGCAAGAATGTGAGGGCAACAAATTCACGGGGAAAACAAAAAAGAACAGAAAAAAAAACACCATTGGGATATTTTGGGATAGTGGGCAATCATGGGCAATGTCTGCAAGTGCGAGGCTAAGTACAGCAAACAGCGATTCGCAAAGCTGCCTTTCCAACCGTAAGCAAAATGTCAATGAGTCAATACAAATTTGATGCTGAGGTGTGGGGGGGGGCGGCCCGGCGGGGGGCAAATGGGGGGGGGGGGGGGCAAAATTCAAAAAGGCAACGAACTGACCCTGCCGCTAGATACCATTAATGCCTTGGTCTATACATGATCTCCCGTCTCAAAGGGGCAAGCATCACAAGGGAGGCCCTGGGTACCCTCTCCCTCAGGCCCAGGTATCCACTGTCCGCAAGTCCTTCCGTGACTCAATCCGATGTTGGTTCAAGCGAAACCCGAAAACAAGGGTGTCCGTGGTTCCCTTTCTTGGGTGGTTTGAACATCACCTTTAGCCTTGGCTGACTTCTTGACTGTATTGGCCAGCGCATGTCTCAACGTGGCCTTTCTTTGCCACTAAAATGGTTCTTGAGAAGAAGTGGTTCAAGTCCGGGGACTGAGCTGAGGGCCATCTGAAGTGAGTCTCCCTTTGCCGTGAATAGACCAATCTTGGGATAGACCCACCATGGGCGCGAGGCCCCTGTGCCGCATGCGCGCTGTAGGTTTGGGACCCATGATGTTTCAACCAAGAGCGAACACAAAACCGCACAAGGCCTGCAAAAAAAAGTGCAAACAAAGTGCCCTCCGGCCTTCAGAGGACATTTAGAATGCGTCCGCGAAGGCGTCACCTTATATGCGTATATATAAGACTTGTTGATTTATATGTCAATGTGTATATATAATATACTCTATAACCTGTACCTTATATATATATATAGTGTAATACAAATTATGTAGAATATTCACATAGGTCATTTCCCATAGCTCAAAGGCTGAAGGGTCGAAGGGTCAACAGCGGCTCCCTATGGCTCCATTTCCGCGGCTGTGACAGAAAGTGCCGCCAGAGTGCCGCAAGATGACCATGAAGTTGATACGGAACCGGATCCAAAGCCGTGTGTGTTGTGACATGGGCCATTTGCAAAAGAGGTTCTTCCTTCAACCCTACCTTTAGTGTCTTAATATCGTCACAAGGTGTGCCCCATACAGCAACCCAAGAGGGCCACCGTATCATGGTTTAGGAGCAAGAGGCATAGCAGTGTGCTATAGAGATTCGAATCTCGTCCTGTGGGGACCCCTTTTTCATGTTGCGCCCAAATTGCAGAGCAGCTCGTACAGGAGGCTAGGTCCTAGGTATCTTAGCCGTGGGGCCGAACGTGTCCAAGTTGCCCCAAACATGGTGGAGTCCCTTTGGGTTTTCTTTCCGCCGACCTCAACAGGATACGCTCCATGTGGCTGCGGCAGGCCCACAGCTGGGGGTCCCGCGATTCGGCCCAGCCAAGGGCAGCCTCGGAAGTTTCCCCAAGACGTGGCTCACTGACCCGAGCCTGGAAATAAAAGGTTAGCCTTCGGGGACCTTTGCTAAAGATGGACCAGCATGGGAAAACCAAAAGGTCCAAAAGGTCGGCTTTGGGCAACAGATGTAAGGAACCCATCAATAATTATCGCAAAATCCAGGGACAAAACCTAAGTGTTAAAGATTAGGCCTTGTGCCTGGATTATTATGCGAGTCCTGCCATGTCCTGCCAGACTGCTGGAAATTTGACCTAGATCATCCACTAGTGTCTGGGCTCCCTTCGGGGGATGGTGTCCTAATTGTTGAGCAATACTTCTAACAAGGGTTCATGCACGGGCTCATAGATTCAGCCTTTGATTTAATTCGTGATTTGACAGCTTGGGTATGATTAGCGAGGATTATATAAGCCAGGGTCAACATCTGATCCCGTGATGCACGCGGGACAATGACCGTTCTGTCCCTCGTTTCGGTGCATCCCAGTTGACAACTCAGATTTGGGCGTCGTCATCAGCCTTCTGATCTTCAACCAGCGTGTTTGGCCAAACAAGAAGCGGAATCAAGCATTTTGGGCTGGCTCTCAGCCCACCAAGCAAGAATTCAGGCCCCAAGGACTGTTCGTTGATTCCATCCGGACTGGGGAACCGCAGATTCCAACTTGATCGGAAATATATGGCTCGATGTGGCTGCGGGTCAAAACCAATGGTATCATTTTGGGGTAGCACCACCCATTTTAGTCTATTTTAGTGGGGATTGGGATGTTCACTGGGGGCACAAGCTTTTGACCCATGGCCATGTAACTTTGAGCAACAGGATCCATGAGTCACAACCGTAGCCTCGGGTAGCCCGGCTTTTGGGCCGAAAGGGTCGCCTTCAAGCCCTAGATGGTGAGGCCATGGGAAAATCTGCAATCCTTTCCCACCCAAGCAAGCCTGCGGACACAGAAGCCCCGCGGAAAACTTGACACTGCAAACCGAAGATCCCAAGAGTCTGGAAGCCACGGCGCTGGGTCATAAAGCGGGGGCCATGGGTCGGTCGTGTCTTCTTTGGAGCCTTTTCTTGTGCTTGGTTCAGGGCAAATTTCGGGATCTCCAATTCCTCAAGTGGCGATCGGCAGGACACTCAGCAAGTTGTTGCACTCACTGGGGAAAAATCAAAATCCAGTGACTTGGTGCAAGGTTCCAACTTCCGCCAAATCACACCCAGCCGAACCCCAACAGCAAATCGATCAACCTAAGGGGACATCAACATCCAGCGACCCATGTTTAACCTCTTTTGCTTTCTGCTCCCCTGCTAAAAGTGAATAACTCTTAGTTGCTTAATACGGAAAACCCATTTGGCAAAAAAAGTTGTTCAGTCCAAAAACATCCCTTGGCAAAATGCGCACCAAATTGAAAGCTTCCAACCCAAATCCAACACGGCCGACTTCGGCGCAGTCCCGCAGATCGCTCCGGGCGATCCGACCCAGGCCAGTGTAGAAGTCGTGGCCGGAGTCGGGGTGCGGCACATCCGGCACCGCTTTGGATCTCCAACTCGTGCCCATCAGGACCCACCTGGTGGCTCGAGTTTTGTTGTTCTCTTTTTGTTCTTCTTCTCTCTGTTTGTTGTTTCTTTATTTATTTTTTCTGTTGGAGGTGGCTCATTTCATTTCTTCGGAGTTGGGTGTTTTTTGGGATGGTTTCATTTTTTCGGAGTTGGGCGCGGATGCAAACCCTGAACATACCTCCGACAATGATGTGTCGCTGCCTTCAAAGCAACTGTGTTGCAAAGCCGCACCCTACTGGCTTCAAGACTTCAACCGCTCTCGTAGCATGATACACCCCTGTCCCCATGTCACGCCAAAAGCGGCTGGTACGGAGCATCATGGCAGAAACAACCATCATGGCATTTCTCCAAGTGATATCCGAACTCAGATATGAGCTGAGGTTGGACTGCTTTCGTCCAATGATTCAAAATGGGCGCCCCTTTGTCCCAATCTTGAAAAGAGACAAACAAGTTGCAGCTGGTCGAAGTGAACGACTTTTGGTCTTCTGCTGATCCGGTTTGGGAGTGTAGGTTGATAATCAGCATGAGCCGCAAACAAAGTACTTGTTGGCCCTGGAGGATAATACGGACAATTTGGGTAGCGGCCGCACTGTCACTCTTGCCGTAAGAACCAGTACTTTTGCCAGTTGCTTGGATCCAATACCGTATCCCCCCCAATGTGGTGTCGTATGACCTCGTTCAACCCAAACCAATCGAAAGGGACACCATTTGGATTCACCGACTGAACTAATCAAGCTCCGGAAGCAAAAATTCTCTGAAGGTTCATTGAGTGGTGTTGTTTGTTGCCGTTAAAGTTGCATTGGCGTCTCAAACCCTTCCGCAAAACCTTCCGCGAAGCTGACGCGGGGTGAAGTACCTTCCGCACGCATGTTTCTACATAAGCTCGTATAATTAAGTGGTTTTGAGGGCTTCCGGAAACTGAGCAAGGCTTCCGCGAGGGAGAGTTGGTGCGCACGGGGTGCTAGACGTGCTTGGCAACGACCACCCACCTGAAATCAAACTATGTTCACATCAACCAGGCTCCTTCCGCGAGCTGCGGGAAAACCCATCCGCAAAGCTTCAGCGGCTGCAGTGCGGCGCTACCTTTTTTGTTGATATTATGTCAACACCCATACATGTTTGCCACTCAGTGTGGGTTGATCATCAGCATGAGCCGCAAACAAAGTACTTGTTGCCCCTAGAGGACATGGACAATTTGGGTAGTGGCCGCACTGACACTCTTGCCGTAAGAACCAGATCTTTTGCCAGTTGCTTGGATCCAATACCATATCCCCCACCCCCAATGTGGTGTCGTATGACCTCTTTCAACCCAAACCAATCCAAAGGGATACCCTTTGGATTCACCGACTGAACTCATCGAGCTCCGGAAGCAAAGACGCTCTCAAGATTCGTTTGAGGTAACCAAAGGATCAACTCATTGCTTGTTATCATGTTGCGGGGTCTCTTGTCGCATCACCCATTTCGAACTTTCAGCTTACAGTTTCTTCCCGTCCCTGGAGATAACCTTCAGCCAACTTACTTCGACTGAAGTTGGACTTCCCCTTTTTGGGCTGAGTTTACAAGGGGGAGGGGTGGAGAGGGGAGGGGCGTGAAGATAGGGGTCGAATCATTTGCCAAATCTGCCCATGTGCCAACTTGTGGTGCCCATGTTGAGAAGTCAGGAAAACACACACACACACATACATGTTTGAGGGGTTCCCAATGTCGAGACCAAACCAAACTGCTATTTGTGGTAACTCTTCCTGTCATTCGGCTCAGCCCGGCAATGGGTCAACAATCGCGTCTGAGGACCCCCAAAGGTCGGTTCCAACTTTGAAGTGGGTTGTCAAGTGGCTTGATGTCTAACTTTGTGATTCCATTTCCCGCTCTAGTAGGTCACCAAGAGCTTGCCACGCGTTAAAACCTCCAAAAAGCAGAACAGCCCTCTGTTTTCGACGGGAACATGGCTTGCCAACCGGGCAGTGGTCCAAGGGAACTGGGGCCAAATCGTTCAGATGAACTTTGCCAAAACGTTGCTCAAGCATGCCACTCTCAACTCTGAACGTGTCCGAATTCCAGAAACCCGAAATGTTCAAACCCTCAGGGGACTCAGGGGGCATGAGGAAAGAGGATTCGAAGGACAAAACCTGGCATTTACTCCCCCCCAAAAACAAAAGCAAACAAGCCGAACAAACAGTCTCAGAGGGTCCAAGTACAGGAGGAACTGAACACCCCTTAACCCCCCAACAGCCATCCTAAACTATGGACCCTCTGGGTTTGGGGGCGGCGCTCATTCCATCCCATGGAAAATATACTTGTCATACTTGTCCAAGAACCATGCTTAAAAAAAAAAAACTGTGAACAGGTTGTCCAAGAACCATATGCTTAAAACAAATATTATTTGAACAGCTTTGCTTCTCTCGGGGACCTGGCACTATCATCCAGGTCCATGGATTCTGATTGTGGCTCAGATCGAGAGTATGCCCAGTATCATTCCTTTGAATAAGGTAGCTGACAAATACTGTTCACCATTGCTCAAATGAGCGCCTGTTTCGCCCATTCACTTTTGATCCTACCATCGTTACTTAAAGCATGATACCGGCTTTACCACCCCCCCATTTAAACCAGCCATAAGCCGAACCGCCTTCTTGTTGAACAGCCAATCATCTCCCGTGCCGAACACCGAGCCACCCTCCCATGACCAATCTTTCGCCTGTCTCAATATAAAGGATTTGGAACCTCCAAATGGCTGGCCATTCGCTTCTCTCTTGGTTTCCCCGGAAAACATATTTTCCGTTTCGCGCCCCCAGTCACCGAGTTTTTTCGACGAAGCAACGAAGCGACGAAGCGACGTTTCGGGTTTCGGGGTTCGGCGGAGGTGCTCGAAGAGGGGCGCGGAGTTCACCAAAATCTCGGGCGGGCCAAGCGCCGGTCGGTTTCTGGTTGGCTTTTGGCTGCACTCTGAAGTGGCCAAGGGCTCAAAAAAGTGGTACCCATGTTTTGGCCGCTTGAAACGTGGGTGTGAATGTGGGGCAATTTAACTATGTTGCATAAAGTGGGTTAACGACTAACTATGAGTGTGATATTTGAGTGGCTGGATCTTTGGACAGACCATGATTTCTGCGCAACTCTAAACTGGGTATGTGGCATATAGCACACTCCAAAACGTGCTTAAGTTATGGGTGTGCAATTTTTAAGTGTTGCATAAAGGAAGTGACCATGAATACTGGGTACAACCTGTTGCAGATGGAAACAACTGATCTACAAATACATGGCACCGGTTCCTTCTCACACCCCTAGAACTGCATGGTTTCTCCAAATACCCGCGTCATTTTTTTTCGGGTTTGAGAGAAACCTGGTTTCCATGGTCATACATCCTTGTTACAAAGGGTTGATTGAGTGATCCCCTAGAAAGATGTACCCTCCTTCCCACGTTGCCATGGCACTTGAGGGTCCCTCCAAGAGGAAACTGATCTTCCGGGTACCCTCCCACAACTGCCATGTTAGTGGGAGGAAGGGTATTTGGAGTAGGGGAGAGCAACTCCCGACAATTCGCACCAAGGAACATCCTCTTACACAATCTAATAAGCTTGGGTCCACCGATGACGCGCGGTGTTGGCACCACACCACACAACACACAGAACGATACAACAAAAATCGTAGCCTTCATCAGAACTGGCCTCGTTATTTTATCATGATCAAAGTCACCCCCTAAGTGGTGGGTTAAGGGAAACAACCCCATTTGCTGACTTTGATAACCCCCAGAAACAAACCGTCAAAATAATGACCCCAGTCACAATTCGGTGTAAATGCCTGTCAGCCAACGACTAAGGTGGTTACCTATTAACATTCCTCACTTGAGCCTATCAACATACATGTTGGTACCCTGGATTCATGAGGAGTGTGCTAGATGTCCAGTTGCATCAACGGCTCTGAATTTACCAAAGCCAAGTCTTCCACAACCATGCCTCCCTTTTGACCAGCCCAAAAGAAGGTTTTGCCATGAAAGTCACCCTCAAAGTGGTAGGTCGACTTTGCTTTTGGTGATGTTGAAGGAACGCATCTGGGTATGTGTCAAAGGCATCTAGAATGCCAAAATGGCTTTCCTTTCAGCCTTCCTTTTAGACCTCAAAACGGGTACGCTCCAAAAACCATACACCAATTTGTTGAGAGACGCAGATTCCCAGGTAGATTTTCCAAGAACCGACCTGGGTTGGAAAATCTGTGGTAGAAATGTGTGTTCTCTTGCAAGCCCGGGAACCTCGTAACACCATACAACCACCTCCGTCTAAACCCTCGGGCAAAAAGCAACACGGAGTTTCCGGCCGTTTCCGGCCTTGGCAAAACACTCCAAAACCAAGAACCCCGGTTTGATTTCGGTAAAACCCTGCGAGTCGAAGTGTCCACGAGGATCAGCGATACCAAAAACACACACACATGCCCAATCTGCGGGTCACAAGCTGACTGGACAAAACCCAAATGGTGTCCCTTAGTCTCAACTGCGTGGATCCGCTCAAAACCAAACTATTTGTGTGCCACTAAGATAATCTTAAGTGTGAAGCTCCAGGAACTCGGGGATGAGTAAACCCAACCTTAAAGGGTCTCCGAAAAAAGAAAGAAAAAAAGGGAGCCCCCAAATGAGCAGCGTTTTAAGCCCAGCGGAAGAGAAATATCACATCCCTTCCGCGAAGGCTTCCGCGGAGCTTGCGCGGCATGAATGGTTCCTTCCGCAAGAAGTTTGAAGACGGAATCGCTTCCGCGTCGCTTCCGCGGATTGAGAAATGGGCTTGAAGTTCGTTTTTGCTTCCGTGCGTGCAGGAAAACTAAAATTTGTTGATTTCGTGATTGCATCTTAGCCCTTCCGCGAAGCTTCCGCGGGTACATAAATGAGAAACCCCTTCCGTGAATCTTGCGCGGCGCTTCCGCGACCTGGGAAAAGTCAACATTTGAGAACAATATTTCCCCCCGGATACTACTTTCAAATGCAGAGGTTTTTAGAACGTCGCTCAAATTGACAATTGCCCTCTCATAATTAGGGTCCCGAAAGAGGTTCAATGCTAGATCCCCCCAACTTTCCTAAACCAGCAGATACGAGGGACGGCGTGCGCCGAACATCCCCCAAGAAGTTTGATGAGACGGGGGGACGCGGGGGACACAGTTCTCCCATTGGCTTCCTCTTGGTTCACCATTGTCACAAGACTCGCTTCAAGGGCTTCTTGCGAATGGTCAACCCCGTCCACGCTGAGATTTTCGACCATGGCCACAGTTTGGGTGCCCTTTTATGGAAATCGGGAAATCGGAAATCCCAAGCGATCAGGGGATCAGGGCCGGGGGGGAGGGGGAAAGGCTTCCAAGTTGAGACACCCCAAGACCAAAAACACCGGCCATGTTTCAGCTCCGTTTCGGGCTTCCTCCATTTCGTCCCCTGGGCGGCGGGTGCGGTCAGCAGGTCACTTAGTGCGGCAAAAATTCCGTCACTTAGTGCAGTCCGAACAAAAGTGTTGAACAGGTCACTTAGTGCAGCAAAAAGCCCGTCACTTAGTGCAGTCAGAACCCAGGTGTTAAACCGGTCAGTTCAATAAAATCAACGGGCCCAACGCGCTCCATAACATAACATAACATAACATACATACATACACGTACACACACACATACATACATACATACATACATACATACATACATACATACATACATACATACATACATACATACATACATACATACATACATACACATACATACACATACATACATACATACATTACATACATACATACATACATACATACATACATACATACATACATACATACATACATACATACATACATACATACAACATACATACATTACATACATACATACACACATACATACATACATGACATACACATACACGTACATACATACATACATACATACATACATACATACATACATACATACATACATACATACATACATACATACATACATACACACATACACACATACACACATACATGAATGCATGCATGCAAACAAACATACATACATACACACATACGTACATAAATACATACATACATACATACATACATACATACATACATACATACATACATACATACATACATACACAACGCAACGCAACGCAACGCAACGCAACACAACGCAACGCAACGCAACGCAACACAACATACATACATACATACATACATACGTACGTACGTACGTACGTACATACATACATTACACACATACATACAACATACATACTTACGTACATAGCACATAACATACACAGCATACATACACGCATACATCACATTACATTACAAAACATACATAACACTACACAAATAATGTGATATAATAACATCACATAACATAACACAGCACAGCATAAAATAGCACACATAACATATATTCGTGAGCCTTGTTCCAAAAACAGTCTTCCGCCTCGCCCTTCCGCGAACCTTCCGCGAGCCTTCCGCGAACCTTCCGAGATGCAGGTAAAACCACACTATTGGCACGTGTCTAAACACATGTAAGTTCTTGTAAAGAAAAGTAAAGCGAGCCAAGACGAAGAGCCAGAGCAGGGGGCTCAGCGGTCCGAACGGGCAGGCCCAACGGGCCCAACGGGCTCAAGCCCAACGCAGGCCCCACGGGCCCAACGGGCACAGCGGGCTCAACGGTCCCAACGGGCCCAGCGGTCCCAACAGCCCCAACAGGCCCAACAAGCCCAGCCCAACAGGCCCGACGGGCTCAACGGGCCACACGGGCTCAACGGGCCCGTGAAGGTGAAAGTGACTGCCGCACTAAGCGACAGGATTTGCGCCGCACTAAGCGACAGGATTTGGACCGCACTGAGCGACCGCCTGACCGCGGGTGCGGGCGTTCCCCGCTCAAATCGTGGGAGCGGATCGATCTCCCGCGGACTGGGCACCGAACCCCGAGGGCCACCCAGGAATAGAAGAGCAGCCTGGAATTTGCGGGCCGATCGAAGCACTTCCGTCCCAAGTTGCTTTTCTTTTCCACCCCCCCACAAAACAACACATCTGGGAACTTTTTGACAGAGAAAGCACTTGGGGGGGGGGGGGGGGAAATTTGGATCCTTGCGGTCTTCGGAGAACTGTGCCCCAGATCCGTGTCTCGGGAGCGCTACCTAAGGGTACCCACTTTGGTCTGTAGCCTGATCTAGTAGAGGAACCCACCCCCCAAAAAAGAAACGGTCGAGAAGGGCCGCAATTCCTGGCAGACCTGGCGCCAGACGGTGAACATCAGCCTAAGGAAAATGCTGAGCTCCGAAGCTTAAAGCCGAGTTTCTCGAGAACTTAGCTCTCGCCATACCATGTTTTCTTGTGGCCCCCGCAAAACTCTTTGAAGGGTCCCGTCATTCACAACACATGCTGGGCCGAGCCAAACTTCAAACCGAACATGTTGCCTTTGTCCTCCTTCTCTGCAAACTAACACCTCGTCCTTAGTCACCTGATCCAATCCACCCCTCCATAGCCCTCAAGGCTCTAAGTCAGGGTTTGAGTGGGGGAAATGGGAGTGGTACAACCTGGATCTTATGTTCCAAAGAACGAAAGGGCTTTCTCCAAACCACAGCCACGGGAAAGGAACTAGGTCCTCCGGTAGAGAGGTTACAATAAGGGTACCCTGTTTCTCTGTGGTCTATTTTAGTAGGGGAACCCTCCCCCAAAAAAGAGTAAAAGGGCACTACTGGAGGACTTAGGTAATCCAAACTTATCCGCAATACGCTCCTTGAGCCCATTGCACCCTACCATACTCCGAACCTTAGTCGCCCAGTCGCCGAATCTGAAAAAGGCGACATCGGGGCTTTCACTTGGGCCTCCCCAAACCCCACTTCTCGGCTATATTGGTCATCTGGCTGTGTTTGGTATGTGTGTCTGTTTGTCTATTTGCTTCCTTCCTTCCTTCCTTCCTTCCTTCGTTCCTTGCTTGCTTCCTTCCTTGCTTGCTTGCTTGCTTGCTGGCTTGCTTGGTATGTGCTTGGTATGCTTGTCTGCTCGTGTTTGATTGATTGATTGCTTGCTTATTTGCTTGGTATGCGTGTGTGTGTGTGTGGGTGGGTGTTTGTTTGTTTGATTGATGAAATGTTTGTCTGTCTGCTTGCTTGATGAAATGTTTGTCTGTCTGCTTGCTTGCTTGCTTGCTTGCTTGCTTGATTGTTTGCTTGCTTGCTTGCTTGTTTGGTATGTGTGCGTGTGTGCGTGTGTGCGTGTGTGCGTGTGTGCGTGTGTGTGCGTGTGTGCGTGTGTGTGTGTGTGTGTGTGCGCGTGTGTGTGTGTGTGTGGGTGTGGGTGTGGGTGTGTGTGTGTGTGGGTGGGTGTGTGTGGGTGTGTGTGTGTGGGTGTGTGTGGGTGTGTGTGGGTGTGTGTGTGGGTGTGTGTGGGTGTGTGTGTGTGGGTGTGGGTGGGTGTGTGTGGGTGTGTGTGGGTGTGTGTGTGTGTGTGTGGGTGTGTGTGTGTGTTTGTTTGTTTGCTTGTTTGTTTGGATGCGTGGTTGATTGGCATGTGTGGGCGTGTGATTGTTTAATTGTTTGTCTGCTTGTTACTTGTTTGCTTGCTTGTTGGTTTGGAATGCTTTTGTGTTTCTGTGTGTGTGTGTTTGTTTGCGTGTTTGCTGGCTTGCTTGCCTGCCTGTTTGTTTATTTGCTTGTTTGCTTGCTTGCTTGTTTGTCTGTGTGTTTGCTTGCTTGCTTGCTTGCTTGCTTGCTTGCTTGCTTGCTTGCTTGCTTGCTTGCTTGCTTGTTTGCTTGCTTGTGTGTTTGCTTGCTTGCTTGCTTGCTTGCGTGTTTGTGTCTGTTTGTTTCTTTGCTTGCTTGCTTGCTTGCTTGCTTACTTGCTTGCTTGCTTGCTTGCTTGTTTGTCTGTTCGTTCGTTCGTTTGTGTGTTTGTGTCTGTTTGTTTGTTTGCTTGCTTGCTTGCTTGCTTGTTTGATTGTTTGGCTTGCTTGTTTGTTTGTTTGTTTGTCTGTCTGTTTGTTTGCTTGTTTGTTTGCGGAGGGTGAAGCCGAAAGGAGGCTGAGGTAAAGCATGCTCCGTACCCAGTTACAAAATCGAAGTGAGGAATCGTTAAAGGACCTACACCGCGGGTTGCTTTTCTTGTCTCACTTAATGGCTAGAACCCCTCCAACCCGATAAACCTGGCCCCAAATATTTTTAGCATCAACATCACTCAAGTGCTACCGTCAAATGGGCCCAGTAGATGTCCGAGCCTCACGTGATTCCAAATCCGATGATCCTCCAAATCCGATTCGTGTGGGGTTGCCCAAATCAGCAGAATGCTTTGGCGTCCCTTCCCTACTTGCCATATGTGTATGAAAACAGGGGTCCCAAACAAGAAGGCGGTTCTTGTGATTTCCTTCAAAACATTTGGATGCGGGTCAAAAATAGAGTCTAACAAAAAGGCGGTTCTTGTGATTTCCTTCAAAACATTTGGATGCGGGTCAAAAATAGAGTCTAACAAAAAGGCGGTTCTTGTGATTTCCTTCAAAACATTTGGATGCGGGTCAAAAATAGAGTCTAACAAAAAGGCGGTTCTTGTGGTTTCCTTCAAACCATTTGGATGCGGGTCAAAAATAGAGTCTAACAAAAAGGCGGTTCTTGTGATTTCCTTCAAAACATTTGGATGCGGGTCAAAAATAGAGTCTAACAAAAGGGCGGTTCTTGTGGCTTCCTTCAAAACATTTGGATGCGGGTCAAAAATAGAGTCTAACAAAAGGCGGTTCTTGTGATTTCCTTCAAAACATTTGGATGCGGGTCAAAAATAGAGTCTAACAAAAGGGCGGTTCTTGTGGTTTCCTTCAAACCATTTGGATGCGGGTCAAAAATAGAGTCTAACAAAAAGGCGGTTCTTGTGGTTTCCTTCAAACCATTTGGATGCGGGTCAAACATAGACACTCAAAACGGAGCCCTAGCAAACGGAAACAAGGCCTCAAACCTGCGGTTTGCTGGCGTCAATTTGACCCATACCTATTTGGGTCCTGGGTCAAAAGCCCGGACCCCCAGTGAACAGCCCAATCCCCACTAAAATCCGCCGACCCCCCTGCCTGCAAGGGGAAGGCGCTGGGGGAGTGTTCGTTTAGCGTTGGAGCGTGACTGTGGCAGCCTTCCCTTTCGCCCTCGCCCGTTCAGCCCTGTACCTTACCAGCCTTCTTTCTTTCCCTTTTTTCTTGTTCTTCTTCGTTTCTTTTCTTTCCTTTTCCTTTCTGCTGCCGGCGCACTCCTTTGGTTGGTGCTCGCTGTGGACAAACGAGTGCGGCCTGGAAAAGCGCGGCAAGCGAAGCTTTTGTGGCTGGCCGCTCCCTCTGGACCGATAGCCATACTGCATATTGGACTCAAACGCGACGTTAGGCACCCGGCCGCGGCGGAGCAGGCTGCCGGCGCACTCCTTTGGTTCGTGCTCGCTGCGGCGAAGCGACTGCGGCCTCCAAGCGCGCTGGACGCGAAGCTGTTCTTGCTGGTTGCGCCCTGGGGACCGATAGCTTTCTACTTTCTATATAGGATTCAAAAGTGCCGTTCGGCACCCGGCCGCGGCGGAGCAGCCGCCCTTGGCAAGACCCACAGCAAACCCAAAGGGAGAAAGACCAGGGATAGGCAAACTGTGACAGACGCAGGCGCACATGGGCATGGACAGGCCGGGGATTGAACCCGACCCCTCTCGCATGCTGAGCGGGTGCGATGCCACTACACCAACTGCCCCTGAGCTGAGGAGGCCGAGAGTGCTCAACTACCTGCTGGGCACAGCTTTCAGCGCTGAAGCTCTGTCACGGCCAGCGCGTTCGGCCTTTTCTTCCTATCTGCTGCCGGCGCACTCCTTTGGTTGGTGCTCGCTGTGGGCAAACGGGTGCGGCCTGGAAAAGCGCTCAAGCACCTGCAGAGCACAGTTTGCAGCGCTGAAGCTCTGTCACGGCCCGCCCGTCCGGCCTTCCTTTTTTCTTTCCTTTCTGCTGCCGGCGCACTCCTTTGGTTGTGCTCGCTGTGGACAAACGAGTGCGGCCTGGAAAAGCGCGGGAAGCGAAGCTTTTGTGGCTGGCCGCTCCCTCTGGACCGATAGCCTTCCTGCATATTGGACTCAAACGCGACGCGGCGGAGCAGGCCGCCGGCGCACTCTGCTCGCTGCGGCGAAGCGAGTGCGGCCTCCAAGCGCGCTGGGCGCGAAGCTGTTCTTGCTGGTTGCGCCCTGGGGACCGATAGCTTTCTACTTCCTATATAGGATTCAAAAGTGACGTTCGGCACCCGGCCAGCCGCCCTTGGCAAGACGCACAGCAAACCCAAAGGGAGAAAGACCAGGGATAGGCAAACTATGACAGACGCAGGCGCACATGGGCATGGACAGGCCGGGGATTGAACCCGGCCCCTCTCGCATGCTGAGCGGGTGTGATGCCACTACACCAACTGCCCCTGAGCTGAGGAGGCCGAGAGTGCTCAACTACCTGCTGGGCACAGCTTTCAGCGCTGAAGCTCTGTCACGGCCAGCCCGTTCGGCCTGTTTTCTTCCTATCTGCTGCCAGCGCACTCCTTTGGTTGGTGCTCGCTGTGGGCAAACGAGTGCGGCCTGGAAAAGCGCTCAAGCACCTGCAGGGCACAGTTTTCAGCGCGGAAGCTCTGTCACGGCCCGCCCGTCCGGCCTTTTTTCTTCCTCTTTTCTTCCTTTCTGCTGCCGGCGCACTCCTTTGGTTTCTTTCCTTTTCCTTTCTGCTGCCGGCGCGCTCCTTTGGTTGGTGCTCGCTGTGGACAAACAAGTGCGGCCTGGAAAAGCGCGGGAAGCGAAGCTTTTGTGGCTGGCCGCTCCCTCTGGACCGATAGCCTTACTGCATGGACTCAAACGCGACGTTGGGCACCGGCCGCGGCGGAGCAGGCTGCCGGCGCACTCCTTTGGTTCGTGCTCGCTGCGGCGAAGCGAGTGCGGCCTCCAAGCGCGCTGGACGCGAAGCTGTTCTTGCTGGTTGCGC